TTTATTGTCGAATGCATTTTCTGATTTTGGGTCGGTCGGTCAGAAAAGGAAAAAAAACAAAAATAAAATTGGAAAAGGAGTCTGGAGCTAGGAGGCCCGCTACCTCGCTACCGCATAATATCCGTGGAGCCTGGAAACAACAAGGTGTGGCTACAAAGTCAACATCGCGGCAATTGAGTAAGGAAAAAGCCAACATCATTGTTAAAATCAAATGAGAACAGGGAAAAACTAAAAATCTGTAAGGCAAAAAATTGCTTATGTTTCAGATTAAAGTGACAATTGTTTGAAATAATGTGTCATTGCCTTCATTGCCTTTTGTTAACTTTTTTTTTTGAAAACACAAAAATCTGGGTCGGTCTGACAATGCTAAACAGAGAAAAGAAAGAGGATGGCCTTATGTCAGATGAAAGCGACTTACATTGCTTCAAAGGTCACATTTTAAACAAAGAAATCGATCGAGCAAAAGTTATATATTCAAGAAAACAAGAGGAATTCTCATGTTTAATCAGTCAGCAGCCAAAACCAAGATACAGAAGATGAACTTGGGACCTCGCTCATCCCAGAAGATGTCATGGGAGCCGATGATCATCTTGTGGCACTAAGAGCTAAAGGTAATGAAGATTGCCTTTTTAATTCCATCTCCATTTTGTTATTTGGTAACAAAAACCGATCGCACCTCTTACGATTATTGGTGGCTGGAGAACTGTATTTTAATTCTTCATTTTATGCTGACCACGATGCTTTCAACAACGCAATATTGCATCAGATACAGACTTTTTCCCAGATGTCCTGTTTACTGTTACATTAACTTATTTATTAATTCAATGGCCTCAATTAATTTCGCGACTAACATTTTCAAAGTTGCGACCAGACATTTTTTTAAATTTCGAGCCCTGCACACAGCTAAAACATAATCAGGGTGGCAAAGTAGGGGTCACTTAAGTTAAAAAAATCAACCTTACAATATCTTTGTTTTTCATGCATGGCTTGCAAGTACAACATCTCTTCATTACTTCTCTAAA